GATATGGCACAACGAGGTATATGGAAGGGATGACGAAGCTGTGGAGGGTACGAACGGTGCCCGACAGACGGATTTACTTAACTTCAGATTCGAGTGGTATGTCAGGCAGCGTATGTTTGACAAAGCAGTTACTGACTCCAAATTCATAGTCCTGATTTTATCCAACGCACTTCCGTTTAGTCTTGTCGAGAAGAAAGAGTTCAGATTGTTCTGCAACACGCTCTGCGGAGTACATGCCACCAACACGCAAGACACTGCGGAAATAATATAGAACGTTGGAGGTGCAAAAAAGAGCTGGTGCGGTATGAAATTCTTAGTGACACTAAAAGGTGCTGCGTCTGTGCCACAACAGACATTTGGACGTCAGCGGCAAGCAAGGGATATCTGTTGGTGATGCTACAATGGATTAGTGAAGATTGACTAATTCAGACAGTTATGGTTGGATTCACCAAGGTTGGATATCCTCATACCGGAGCCCGTATTGCGGATCACCTTGTCGTTGCACTGCGGACGATGAATAGGTCTTTGTTCTAAAAAATTGTGGACTATTGCAACAGACAACGCCAGCAACAACGGAACGATGATAGAAACAATTAATGCAGTTCGGCAGGACCAATTGATACCTACGCGCAACAAGCGGTCTCTCTTTCAATTTTGACGTGATATCTACACCTTCATCGGCTGTGAGCCAAGGGTTATACAGGTGCGGTGTCTTGCACACGGTTTGCAGTTAGCTGATAAAGAGGGGTTGAAGCCGTGTCCACTCATGGATGAGAGTATCGGCGTGATTCGTGATTTTCTCAAGAAAATATTGATTCGCCTTCTCTGCTAGAGGCTTTGCAGGAGGTGTGTACGTCGGTAAACGTAACGTTCATTGCACTGGAGCTTGATTGCGTGACCAGATGGAATAGCACTCTTACGATGCTAGCGTTAACCCACTCGCTAAAGGTGGCAATCGTAGAGTTACAACGAAGTATTCGAGGGCGACACGAGGGATACAAAGATTTCTCCATCGGTCCAGATGGCCACTTAACTGCACCGAATTCTGAGACCACGTGGGGCAATGTGGTAGAGCTCATGATATTTTTCCGTCCAATCAAAGGCGCTACAACGATGATGTCTGGGAAAAATTACCCGACGTAGCACAGGTTGATTGTCATCTCGTCACAAAACATGCATCAAAGAGAGCGTCAAATTCTGTTTCCTGGTACACGAAGGACTTCGCGCGCGTTCAAGGCTAAGCTTGATGAATACATTCCGGTCGTGAAGACCAAGCATGCACACATTGCTGCAGTGTTCGATCCTCGAGCCAAGCCCCACCTCTCCAACATTGGCATTGATGTCGAAAGCGTAAAGCGCTTTGTAGAAGCTGAATTTGAATCCGTCTACAAGGGCTCTTACGACCAGCTTAAACTTGTTGCCACTTCCGAAGTGAAAACGCCGAAACAGATTGAAGAAGCCGAAGACGCGGAGTCGCTGTACAGTCTAATTGATGAGAACATGGAATCGGAAGCACTGGTAAACAGCACAAGCAAGTCGTTCGCAACTGAGTTGGCGAGGTGAGTAGAGCACCCTGATCAATAAATGACCCTCAAGATCACCAGTCGAGCTGGATGAAGCACGAAACAGCGTCGTTTCCGCGCATCAGGATCATGGCGCTTGATTATTTGTCTGTATTGGCTACTTCAGAGCCGAGTGAAGAAGCCTTCTTTGCTTCAGGAACAACTATCAGTTCTCGAAGGGCCAGGCTTAAGGATGATGCTATCACGACGATTTCGGAGTTGCAAACATTTTTAGCATTTAGCATGACCTCAGATGATACATATGCCGATCCCGTCGACATTAACAAGCAAGTGTAAACAAATCATAGCGTAATTTGGCCGACAGCCGCCGACGCCAGCCGACAGGGCAGTTATTGGCTAAAAAGAAACAAATTATTCTGTTTGTGGAACCGCCTCGGTAAAGGCTCGAGGACACAGCCAACAGACAGAAACAGAACCAGTTTCAAACAGAGTAAGGCAAGCGTGGAGCTGGTGCAGGCGTGCAGTGGGCGTCCGTACGCTGGGGGAGGCGGGGCCCCCGGCATGCAGAGAGCACTGCGGCATACAACAACCAGTATTACAGCTACAATGAAGCGTGGAGCGGGCGCGGGCGTGCAGTGGGCGTCAGGATTCAGGTAAGACTCACCTTTATATTTTGTATATCGATCGTTCCTAAAAA